TGTGTGTGTGTGTGTGTGTGTGTGTGTGTGTGTGTGTGTGTGTGTGTGCGTGTGTGTGCGCGCGCGCGAGTGTGTGTTTATATTATTTTCGAAAGTGAGTAGTATGTTTGCACTACGTGCAGATTGTAAGGTTTATGTTATGTATTTGGTAAGGGAAGAGCGCATTAACTGAATGACTCGTAGAATAGACTCAATATCCTTATGATTACAGTGTTTTGAAAGATAATCCTTGACTGCTTATTTACAATCGTGTCTGTTTTTTAGTCTGTAGTTTAGTTTTTTTTTTTAGTCTTTTCATAATCTTGAGTACAGATCTTTGTGCTCTTCATAGTTTGATAAGTCTTGTTTCACAGGTACCACCCCAGACTGGGATACAGTAAGCAATTATTGACTGACATAAGCTGAGATGAATTATGGTAAGACGTTGGTGATGAATTTAAGTTTTCTGACCCTAGTTGAGGTGGCATCTACCTGGTGTTGCCATGACATCAATTCATCCATAATTACCCCGAGATATTTAGTATACCCCGAGATATTTAGTAGAAGCCACGTGTTCAAAGGAGGCACATGAGCAGTTCAGATCACTTGGGTAATTGGGGCAATCATGAACTTGAATTGTGAATGCATTTTTGATGGTTGGGTTCTTTTTGACATTGTAAATGTCATACATGTCGATTTCGCAGTATTTAAAGATAGGAGACTATTTTGGAACCATTGAATTACGCTGCGCAGTCCATTTTCGGAATTCATTCGAGCTTGCAGCCAGGTCTCACCTTTAAACACAAGAGCCGTATCGTCTGCAAAAGAGAAGATCTTGCCATTTTTTGGGTTGTGCTGGCACAGTTCGTTTATGTATACCAGGAAGAGGCTCGGACCTAGAATACTGCCTTGTGGGACTCCATTTGATATTAGTATATCTGAGCTGGTCGTGTTGTGTATTTTGACACGCTGAAGTCGCCCTGTCGAGTAACTTCAAAATAAGTCAAGATGAGCTCGTATGCCTAAGATTTCTAATTTTCTGAGAAAAATTGGGATAGAGACAGTATCAAACGCTTTCGTTAAGTCCAAGTAAATATTTCTTTTTGTCATCCAAATTCTGTACTATATAATTAGTTATCTCAACTAAGGCATCCTCTGTGGATCTACCAGCTCTAAAGCCAAACTGTGAGTCAGAAATAACTTTTTCATCTTCGAGGTAGTATATAAGTCGTTTGTTTATAATTTTTTCAAGAATTTTGAAAGAGCTGGTAGAACAGATATGGGTCTGTAATTGTGAACACTGTCTCTATCCCCTGCCTTGTATATTGGATGAATCTGTGCACGTTTGTACACTGTAGGAAATACTCCAGTATCTAGACAACGATTAAAGACGTGGGTAATAGGACCAACCAACCAAATAACGTCTTTAGCCATTTTCAAGAAGCTGGTTGGAATGTTATCCCACCCAACTGCTGAATCCAACCTCAAACCAAGCAGAATAGACTCAACTTCAATTGCATCAGTAGAAAAAAAGCACGAAAGATTTATGATTAGATTGAGTTTTGATGAACTCAGTGACTCTATTAGTGATATTGTGCGATTTTTGTCTATTCGTGATTGCATCCGCCAGTAAGCCACATTTGCCACAAAATTTGAAAATTGTCCAGCGGTTTAACGACACGTCGCGCCGCCCGCTGCCCCATTGGTTGCCGTCCAGCGCCTGTCAACGCTGGATCTGTGTCAAATTTTATCACGTCTGTTATATTTTTAACCGACTTCAAAAAAGGCGGTTTTCAATTCGATTGTACTTTTTGGATGTATGTTACGCGATAACTCGGCATTTGTGAACTGATTTTAATGATTATTTTTCTACTGGAAAGAGGATACCGTAGTATTGGTCCCATTTAAATTTGAAGAAAATATTACACGTCTAAGGGTGGTAAACCGGGGGATGAATCCGATTTCGCACACTTTCCGGTAACGGATACAATAAAACTTGGCCAAGATGTGTAATTCCATGAACTTTTGAGGTCGGATTTTTTTTATAAAAAAGTTACAATTGTAATTAGTTACACCGAAAGTAAATATTATACTCTATCAATTTCCAGCATGTGGATTGCGAAACGCAAGGGCCGGCCCCCCGCACTCAAAAAAGCCTAAAACCTAGTCTCACATTCAAATACTCGACCTTAAAGATATCGAGTTCCTAGGTTTTCGCGATTGGAAATGAAACTATATCTTCGTATATCAATATACATGAGACTGCAGTACTAATTATTGATGTGTTTTATTTCCAATTTCCTTTTAAATAAGGTATAAATTTAGTAAAAAGTTCTAGTGGAAGATAAACTACTTTTCAGGATCGAAATCGCGTTTATTTGTTTTTTCAAACCAGCCAACGTTTGGGGCTCCTTACAGGGCCATAACGTATGCAGGAGTTTATAAGCTTGACTGCGAGTGTACATTGGACTGACGAAGCGAAACATTCCTACTCGAGTCGAAGAACATAATATATGTAGCTGATGTCAAGCTTCTTCTCCTTCTTAGTCGCTTCCTCACTGCTGAGGATCGTGACTTCACTTCATCGTGCTAATTATTAGCCTCAGTCGCCTGTTGGAATGCGGCGCTGACAGGTAGCTCCAGTTGTTCAGAGATCTGATCCGACCACCATTTGGGACTCCTGCCTCTAGGTCACTTTCCTTCCACCTTTCCTGTCACCATCAAACGCTCCAGGTTATCAACATCTCTACGTGACACGTGTCCAAAATAACTTATCCACACTGCATGCAGATTGAAAACAGACGCAGTACAATCTCTATCTTGAGTTCCTCAAATACAGAGACATTGGTGCGGCGGGCTGTCCTGGATGCCAGGAACCCATGTGACCGAAAGAAATGAGGAGCCCAGATCTTAGAAAGATGAGAGGTTCTTTCTCAGGAGCAGCAAGCGGCAGGCGCGGTGAAGACCGAACTCATGAAGCCGTTATCCATGGACAACTTAATTCTCGCAGGCTGTTATTTTGCAGGGACCTTTCTTTTTGTTTATCAAATACAAAACAATATCAAAGAATTTAAACAAACTTCACTACTTAACTTAAACTTAACTTTAACTTGACTGCCGTGGCTAACATACGGTAAATGTTCCAGTCTCGAGATATTCGCTGTCAGTCGTTTTGGAGTCCCTGTTAACTTGTGAACCACTTGTGTAGTATTATGTACACATAACTACTTTGGACTGTATTTCTTAGTTTTAATACTGTCAACAACAACTATAGCAAACTCTGTATCAAAGATATTCATTTATTGACAAAAAAGTAAACATAATAACAGTTTAATAATCATGAATTTACAACTTAGCGCCTATTGCACAGAAAAAAGCTAATTCTTAAATCAGAAGAAGAATACAACAAATTATAAGCCTATGTCAATTCTACCGGTATTTGATAAACGATTTGAATCTTTGTTATTGTCCTATTGTTATGTCCCGTATTTTCTTGGCACATCAAACAGCAGATTACTTCCAAACAACATGGATTCATCCAAGGGCGCTCCACGATAACCAATTTAATTTCTTTTTTAAAAGATTTGATCACATCTGTTGATAAGCGCGTCCCCGTAGATGTAATATATACAGACTTCTCATAAGCATTCGACAAAGTTAACCATGGCATTCTTTTAAGGAAAATATCCGCATTTGGTATCAGTGGCTGCTTTCTAAATTGGTGCTCCTCATATCTGGAGGACAGGACTTCAAAGGTGGTTTTAAATGGTTTTACATCAGACCCTTTCTCGACATCCTCGGGAGTTCCTCAGGGATCACATCTTGGCCCAGTATTCTTTAATATGTTTATCAATAACATAACAGCCTGTTTTTCACAATCTTACATTTACCTTTACGCCGATGATCTCAAAATAGCTAAGCCTTTAGAATCTACCTCGGATCCTGTTCATCTTCAACATGATCTGTCTAGGCTTGCCGAGTGGTGCGCAATTAATAAAATGACACTCAATGTAGAAAAATGTTATCATATATATTTTACTCGAAGCAAAAACATTCAAAACAATAAATATAAAGTACATGATAAGCGCATAACAACAATCAGTATCGTAAGGGATCTGGGTGTAACATTTGATTCGGAATTAAAGTTTGAGAACATATTAGCAAAATTGCCTCTAAAGGCTATGTGTATCTTGGCTTTGTATTTAGAAATGGCAAAGATTTTATAATACATCTACTAAAATAAGTATTTTCAACAGCCTAGTCAGATCTGGTCTTGAGTAGGGAAGTGTAGTGTGGTCACCTTTCTATGAGATTCATTCGAACATGATTGAACGGGTTCAAAAGCGTTTCTTGTATCATTTGGCTCACCATTGCAAGAAAGCTAAACAATTTCATTCTTATAACACCCGTTTAAATTATTTCAATATGCAAAGTCTGAAACAACGTAGGCAATTCCTCGATCAAACATTTCTATTTCAAACTACAAATGGTGTAATAGATTGTCCCCAATTACTGTTTAATTTTAAATTTAATTCCCTTTCAAAATACTTCCTGTTTTATGTCGCCCCTTCCCGTAGTAATCTTGGCCTAAATTCCCCCATCAACAGACTGGCAAAAAACTACAACGGCTTGGCGTTAAAATTTGACAGTGAAATAAAGTCAAAGCCGAATTAAAAAGGCTACTTTATTAAAGGCTACTACCTGGGTCGCCACTCACATGAACATACATTTATTTGTACATAATTTACTATATTTAAAATACGTACTTCCTTTAAATGCATCCATATACTTTTGTAATAATAATTAAAGTTGTAATAACAAAATTGTGTTATTGTTGTGTGTTGTGTTGACACGTAGAGTAATCAACAAATAGCTGTAACATTGACCTTAAACAGTTAATTTGTAAGTAGTCAATTACTTTAAGTTGTTTTAATACTCCAATGTATAAACGCATGTCGTTGCAACTTGTAAATGAAACAACACAAAAACTCGAGCCACGATATCGTCAAATTGTTTGTGTATGTTTTGTAAGATGTCCTAAATAAATAAATAAAATAAACTTGAACGGGAATGTATGATGTGTTCGACACGCTCTTAGTCGGGTTTATAGAGTAGACAATAAGTTTTCATACGTACCTTCAAACAGTCGTAGACATTCTTCTCCGGTACCGTTGAGATGTAGTGCTGTAAGATAAAGAACGTAATAACAGATTGTTTATTAAGTGCACAAAACTATAAGTTTACCACTATATATTTCACGGGTTCTAGTCGTTGGATGGGTAACTATTGTTAGCCGTTGTTTATCAATTGTGATAATTATTAGGAATTTTTTATTATTAGTAATTATTAGTAATTAATTAAAAAGTAATTAAACCAAAAAGAACATTTAAACAACATAAAAAGTATTTGTGAGTAAATAAATGGTCGTACCTGCAGAGACGTAGAAAACATGGAACAATATAAAAAAGTGAAGACCAATTTTCATCTTATTTAAATATTTTAACTAAGTTAACAGTAAAACAGGACAGAGTAATGATTATTTAAAAATATTTGCGGAAAATGTGATACCACACTTTATATAGCTTGACCATACAACAGAGTCATAGGTCAATACGAGATAATACCTATGGGGTGATTATTTTAGGCAACATTTTGGATTAATTTACTTATATTTTATTTTTTATTGGTTTCGCGAGAGATGTAGACGGATTGATCCAGGCTCTGCTTCACTTTTCTGATTTTCTTTTGTCAGTTGCATCGCGGTGTAAGACAGCGCCTGTAATTGCACGCTGGCCACAATTATTCGTTTGCAATAGAATACTACTTGTGTTACATTATCTCGGTTTGAAATTAAAATATATTAGTACTCTTCGGTTTACCAACGATGTGTGTTGTCTGTGTCAAGTTTAAATTAAAAGGTTTTTTTAAATCATTCCATTATTTAAATCCAAATTTAGAATAACTTTATTCGAAATTTTCAAAATTGTCGCTGACAACTTGTCTTTCAACTTTCGGTAACTACATTTAAAAACTTTACTCCTTTTGGGCTCCTGCGCCGCCAGGTAAAAGAGCATTTATGCCAAGCTACGTCTGAACTAAATTACAATATGAAAACCTGAACAACGTTTGCTCCTCGACCACGGCAGAATAAAAACAATGGAAGTTCCTTAAGCCTCGATTACTACCAGAACCGTTGTCGCCAAAATATACCAAAGAAATGAATGATAAACTTAACGAAATCTTGATAATGATTGGTCGTAGTTTCTGATTTAAAAAGATGCAACAAATTATGGACTGTTATATAATTTAAACTTTACCCAGTCATTATATCGCTGAAAGTTCAATATCTTTATAGTAAGTTACATTTTGATTTTATATTGAAATTTTATGCAACGAGCTGCCATCTTGCGGCCAGTAGCTGGACTACAACGGACGACTAACATCTGAACAAATAGAAAGTAGTATTTTCTCGGCAACAGATCTCTTCTTTTAATAAATTTTTAAATTAACAAATGTTCGCTAGTTGTAGCGAACAGGGAAAATTCAGTTCCCCAAAAGATAAAACTCGACCATAGTGCATTGGGATAATGTTTACTTTGGTTTGTCACAGTACAAATACAATTCATTATATAGAAAACGGAAAATTTACTAAAATAAGACCGATGATACAGAATACCACACGGGTAATATTTTTGGCGAGGCTATCATTTTTGCACTCCAAAACAGCACAACAAGGCATTTGTCTACGATTTTAGAGAATTTGCGTGAAAGAATATATTATACCGTATAAAGCAAAAATGGCGGACTGAGTTCTGATAAAATAAAAATAACTATGCCCAGCCTATGCCTGCCTATGGCACACGTGAGACGCTCAAAGTCAAAGTCGAAGATTATTTATTCCATAGGTAAAATAAATTTACACTTGATAACGTCACATTTAAGCTACTGCTCGTTCACTACGCTGACATTTTTACCGGAGAACCGAAAGAAGTCACTCCGTTTATCTCTACTTTCTGAATTCTACCGTTGAGATATGACAAGACAAGTTTCGATGCCTTACACCGTAATGTTACAGCTTCCTAATAAGAGTAATATGATCAACGCAATCAAATGCCTTTGAGAGGTCACAGAGAACACCAATAGCGTTCTGGGAACGTTCCCAAGCAACAAAGATGTATTTTAGTAAAGCTAACTAACCACTTCTACTTTATTTATTATTCTGTGGTTTGTACAAACGCAAACCGAGTTATCTATTTCAATACATTTTTCGCTTTCGCCATCGGGATGCAAGGCAGAAGAATTAATTTTATTTCAAATATTTGCTAACAGATTGAGTGCATGTTTGCAGTTGATGCGTGAAGTCGTAATCAACTTCACGCATTAACTGCATGCAGTACCACAAGGAAGCGTATTGAGTCCGCTTTTCTTCATAATTTATATTTATATGGCAGTTAATTGCCATATCATACACAGCACTTACCTATTATGTTCGCAGATGATGTCACGATGTTGTTTACCAAGAATGGTAAAACAAAAACTGATTATGAACTTGACATAAACAATACTTTGAACGGTCTTACTACCTGGCTTAAATCACTAAACTTAAAAATAAATAATTCTAAAACAATATGTATTATAATGTTTGGTTTATTATAAAAAAGTAGAATGTAGCATATTAATCTACCAGTTCATACAATAAATGTTTCTGATTTATGATTTCTGATTTCTGCAGTCGAAATCTGACTGCATGACTGCATGCTGTAGAATTAAAAGAAGTAATTGACATTCTTACGAGGATATATTTTATTGTTTTGCGTCTGAAAGAACTATTTTTAGTAACGGCAAAAGGTACGCTTTCATTTTTGGCTTCGATTATGCCGACGGCGTAATAATAGTAACAGAAGTAGCGCCCGTGCTGCCATCTCGACGTCAATTTTTATACTGAGCTCCTGAGTTAGACGCGCGGTGATAACTGCCTGCAGTCTGCATTTAATGTCGAGTCGAGTCGACTGCAAACAGTAGGTTTTATCGGCATTGAGTTGTATTAGGGCTCATGCAGCGTCGCGACGGCGGTCGCATCGACTCGCAACGACTTATAACGACGAAATGCAGCATGCGGGTGACTAGCGACGTAACATTACCGGCGACCGACCGATATAGCTTAATGAATTTTCGAATAATTATCGTACCTACAGGGAAAATGGATAAAGTATCAAAACTTTCTTTGTTGGAAAATCCCGTTTTACGGGTCCGTGCCACTGAAAGGATAAGAAGAAGGAGATTTAATATCCACTCTATTAATATTCTGCGGCTACTACGAACTGCATCAATTAACCTATGGGTACATTATTACAATTTTAATTACTTATGTAATAATAGGAACATTAATTGATCATCTAGTAACATTCCTAAGCGACTAGCGACGACTGATCGCTGCAAGTCTCACGACCAATGGTCGCCGGTCGCGGGCACGCTGCACTGAGCCGTATTTACGGTTTAGTAGCAGTCTACAGTCTTATGGCATCTTGGCACAGTAAAGTTGTTTTGTTTCGGTCTTATAACAGCCTATATATACAGTTTTATATGCATGAAAGGTTTAATTAAATGGGCCAAATTTCCTTATTTTTTAATGGCCTGTAGAGAGGAAACTAACTTAATTCTAGATTAATTTATTTGTTTAGACTCGACAACAGTTCGCAAACCATGCACAACACTCTTTAGCTTGGAACAGATGACAATTGTGCAAATTCAAAATAACCTTCATTTCGTAGGTAAGTATTATAACACTTGAAATCGTCACAATGGTTAAACTCTACCGCTCATTCGTAATACAGATTCCCCTGAGAAGAATGAGCAAGAAACTCTAGGGGTTGCTCTTTGTAAATAACATTAACCATTCTTCCACTTGATGCTATACATAATTTTCCTAACTCAAATCCACTTCTTGACTTAACAATTGTGTCATCTTTGAACTACGTTAGTAAACATGGTCAGTGCGCCGCGGACGCTTTTTCTTGTCATGAAATGATTTATCTTTCCTACAAAATTCGCCCACCCAAAGCACAAAACAAAAAGGCGTCACTACTCTCGAGGCTGCGTTCTAGTCCTAACAGCATTCTGAAAATGTTTACGGCTAAGCTTGATGCGCCGGTGCTTGAACATTTTATCCAGGTTCTGGTGAGATCATGGGGTTATCGGCGCCTCGAGCGGTAAGTTGCATATACGTGTTTCTTGTGTTTGTCAATGTATTGTCCCGTAAATTGTACCTACTAACAATAGCTTTAAGTTTAAATGTTCTGTATCTTTTTGTATTACTAACAAGTGGGCCATAGATGTCCAAATAAATGATTTATTATATATATATGTCGGCGCAAGACCCTATCCAGTGAACACATGGTGGCGTGTTGTCCACACGATGATTATTTATTAATAGAATAATGATTACCTATTGCTAACAATTGATTTTCTTAACTATGTTTAGTGAAAATGATTTGTAGTTGTCTTCAGACAATGTTCAAAGTATTTAGAATCAAATTTTAATGTTAATCCAAATTTAATGAAGTGATCGGTAACTCATTTTAATTGCTTGCAATATTCGATTCGATTTAAAATTATTTCCAACACAGTTTTTTCAGAACAGGCGCCATCTAGTGGCATTGTTCAGAACCTCTATTTCTTGTTTAAAGACTCTGTTTATTAATTTCTCGAAAACAAAACTAGAACTATAGTTTGAAATTCACATTTAATCGTAAAGTGATTTTAGATAATCAATTTGTGAAATTTAGTTAAGAATTTAACGTAACGCAAATTATTTCAAACACAGTTTTGTCAGAATAAGCGCCAGGTAGTGGCGATCTTCAGAATCTCTATTTCTTGTTTAAGGACTTTGTTTATTAATTTATCGAGAACATAACTAGAACTATGGTTTAAAATTCACATTTAATCGTAAGGTGATTTTAATAAGTTTGTGAAATTTAATTAAGAATTTAACGTAATTTGCAATAATTTGTAAACAAAACCGCGTGGCCGTTGGCGGAATCGATGAACATAAAAGCAGGTATGTCGGCCCGGTGGGGGCATTGCTTTTCGGGGAGTCGCAACGATCACACTGTGAGTACATACATACACTGTATATAGAATTACTGTTGTAAATAAAAGTCATTGATTTAGTAAAAGTGTTTGGTTATTTGCATCATAATGGGTGATTCAGATGATGGTGACGTTAGCGAGGCTGACGTCGCCATTCCTATTAAGCCGACCTCCGCTCCTCCTCCGTTATATATATATAAAGCAAAACCCAAAATTATAAGGGTTATGCTCGGGAAATTGACTGGGGTAACGTTGTAAATGCTGTTTTAATTGATAGTAAAGTATCTGAGTTTAACAATACATTGATTTGGTTAGACAAAAATGTTAGGACTGCTATTAATAATAAGCTCACAGCTAAGGCCAGATTTAAGTACAATCCTACAGACGAGAATAAGCATATCTACAATGAGCGTCGTAATCGCTGCAATAGGTTGCGTA